AAATGATAGGTTAACCTGCAATCAAGCGCAGGAAAAGGAAGAAAGCATGTTCGCATCCTTATCTTTATTTTTTTTCCTCAGAGCAGAGACATTCACTTGTGTGAATACTTTTGCTGGTTTGGATAGACCCAGTTTATAACACTGTATTATAGATAGCATCGCACACTGCTTTTTTTCCTGCCACTCCCCCCCAAAACTTTTCTAACAAGATACCTACACCACAGTGCACCAACCATACAAGAAAGGTGAACAGTTGGAAACACAAATCTAGAAGAGCCATGAATCATCAGAACTTGTTAGACCACGTTTCACATAAAGATTCAGTCCCTTCCTCAGGTTTATCAAGAAACTTTGATTACATAATCTCACTGGGTTTAAAATATAACTCAAAAATACTGCTGTCTGTTATATGATTCTTCTAAGTTTATAGTTTCAGCTATTCACCTCTGTCATGGTCCCTTCTATAGGAAAGGAATTATTGCATCATTCCTGGTAAAGAGCTACAGCAAAAGAAGAATGTTTAATCCGGGGTAGATTCCTGGAGAGATTTTATCAACAACCACTAAAACAAGTCACTTTAAATACAATATACAACTACCTCTCCACGTGCCATCTCCATTTCATCCTGAAGAGTCTTTCACTTCCCAATTTGTACCCATAGTCTGCTGCCTCTTTGAAGGTAACCAACATTTCTGGTCCAAAACAAAGGTGTATGTAGAAAATGAGCTCTTTCTTTTAAAGTCATCTTTGAGTGACCATCTGCATCTTATACTTAATCTAGAAATTAAAAAGAATATTCACACTACTAAATATACAACAGTTCATCTGATCATCTCTTTCAAACAGTACAGAACATACAAGTAGGAGGGCAGAAAACAATTCTAAAACTTGACAACGAATAAAAACGTACAGGATACACTTAGTGGATGCATTTTGCAGTACGATCAAGAGTTCCACCAGTAAAAAGTTAACCTGCATACAAATCTTTCAGTCCTTAACATTTCCAGTAGGAAAGTTTCCTAAACTGTTTAAGCACTCTGTGTCTGCCTACTCAGATATGATTAAGTGTAAATGGACAGACTTCCCCTAAAGGAGCAAGATTAGGAAAGCTATATGAATACATTATTTGTTAGTTTTTTGCTTTGTTTTTTGTTTTTGAATGGGTATCCATAGCTGCAGCAAACTCAAAAACAGTAACACCTGTAGGACATGTTAATGAAAAGTCATTAACTGAAGAAAGAGACATTTGCAATTACAATTCTCTGGTGATAACAAATGCCAAAAAAATTTCCATGTAACACTGATGAAAACCACTAGTATTATAATTAACAGGTGAAGAGTGGAAGAAAAGGAAAAGCAGGGGAGTTTGAGTACGAAGCTGAGAACTGCACAGGATATGTTTAGACTACAAAATCCCTTAGCTTACGTTTCCTGAAGAAGCATACATTTGAATGATCTGTTAATACGCTTGTCAGACTGCTAACATTAGCCTCCTTACCTCTATTTTTTTCTACTACATTGACATTCTACTGTACTGCTGGAGGAAGCTGGTGAGGAAACATGCAGCAAGTTGGGCCAGGCCACCAAGAGGTCTAAAAGCAACACAACACAAGTATTCCTGCTCACAGATGGCTGCCCTTAAAACATATTCCAATCCTTGAAAATTACTTTAGTTACAAATATGACAAGCTCTGACATTCTCACATTCAAATTCAGTAAGTACAGGCCGAGATTGTTATTGTAGCCTGCAGACTTCAGTTAAACTGCAATGTTTCAACACACAGCAGGGGAAATACATGCTGTAGTCCACTGCAATTAAATCCTGAAGGTATCCGACCAAGAAACCGCCTGTATAACAGGATCAGTCCTAACCTTGCTCCAAGCAAAGTATATATCATTTTCAAATTACTTCAAAGAAGATAGGCTTAACCCAGAAGGCACACAAGTCATCAACATCAGATAAGTGTGTGGCATTTGGTTTTACAAAGCATCTTTTTCTTTATGCATAAGTTCATAAAAATATTAATTATTTTTGTTACAATAATACTCAGGAGACTAATTCTTTTAGGTACACATATACGGCCTTCTTCCCCAAAGGAAACTGTCCACACAAGAACAGCAAGAAATCATGGCACCACTTAAGCATCAACCAATTCACAAACAAGACAAAAAAAAAAAAAACACATAAAATGAAGAGTTTTGTACTATTACTATATTTTTTAAACAACTCAGAACTATTAACTCTACTTAAAAACGCAGATTTGAGCAAGTCTTTCTTTGGGAAATGTGTCTTCAAAGTTTACTGACAGTAGTTGGAAAGAGACATAATACATTGGCAAATTAAGAAAACACTTCCCCATATTCCCAAATTAAATCTTATATAAGATCTGACAAATATATTTAGAAAGTTATTACTTTCAGTCTTTCTCACTTAAAGATTTACTCTAGTATCAAGCCACCACCTCCTTAAATAATTTTGACTACTACAAAAATTTAACAGACAAGGAAAGTCTACTTGAGGCATTTCAGTCATATTTCCCTACTTGGAACAAAATAACATTTGTCATTCAGCTACTGGACTACAATAGAAAGGAAGAGCAATTATATAGCCATAGCTTATTTCAGAGAAGACAGAAGTGAGTTTTTAGCTGGAAAAAGTTTTTCTAAATAATGAAAATACAATCTATATGTGTGGGTTTTCTTTATTTTTTTGAAAGACTTTTGCTTTCCAGCTACCTAAAACATTACTTTCCTTTTACTGTACTGTTGACAGAGTTATCAGTGTCATCTACAGAAAATGTTGTGACATTTAGGGAAGGTTCCTGACGAGTGGAAAAAAATAGTTTCTTACCCATCTTTAAGAAAGGCAAAAAAGGGAGGTACAGCTTTACCTCAGTATCTGGAAGAAGTGCCGAATACCTTACTCGGAATTCACTTCTAAATATATGGACAAGAAGATAATCACAAAGAGTTAACGCATTTATCAATGACAGACCAAGCTCATATGATGCAAGTTATTATGAAGGTTGAACAGCGAATGCAATGTACTCGGACTTTAGCACAGCTTTTGACGCAGTCTCCCACCGCAGCCTCACCTGGAAGCTGAGGAAGCAGGAGCTCGACTAACAGAAGGCAAGGTCAGCCCAAAAACCGCCTGGATCGCTGGCTCACAGGGTCGTAAGCAAAGGCTTAGCGTCCACCTGCCGGCTGGCAAAGCAGGAACCCGGGGCCAACGCTACGGTCCGAACGTGCTCGTCGGCACCCAGGACGGCGACGCGGAGCGCGCGCTCAACAAACTGCCAAGTGATAACGAACCGGAGCGGGAGGGAAGAGGAGGGAGGTCGACACGGTGAACGGCAGCGAGATAACGCCGAGAGAGAAAAACCCCCAGAAACTCGAGGACGGTGCCAAAAGAAACCTCCGCGGGTTCAATAAGGAGAAGCGCAAAGCTCCGCACCCAGGGCCGAATAACCCCACGCGTCAGCACAGCCCGGCAGTCGCTGGCTGGGCGACGGCCCTGCTGCAAAGGGCTCAGGTCCGCGGAGAAGCCAGGTTACACGGGAGACAAGGCCTCAGCGCGGGCAAGGCAAACCGCACGCGGCGCCGCGCCGCGCCGCGCCGAGACCCCCACGGCCAGAAGGACGCGGAGCAACCAGCCAGGGTCCAGCACTGCACTGCCACGGTGGCCGCGGGCCTGGACGACATCACCCGCGCCCGAGCCGAAGGCAGGCGGGCCTGTTTCGTCTGGCAACGAGAAGGCTAGCCACCACCTCCGAGGGAGGGCACCGACAAAGACAGCACAGCCAAACGCTTCCTCAGCGGTGACGCGCGGGATAAGCAAGAGCAACAGCCTCAGAACGCAGCGTGGACGGTTCAGGCTGGACGCGATGAAGAACGTTGTCGCCAGCAGCGTGATGGGCCAGGGGAACGAGCTCCCCTTCCCACAGGGAGGCGGCGGATTCGCTGTCCTTGGGGCTTTCCAAGACTTGCCGAGACAAAGCTACAGCTGAGTCCACCAAGTGCTACTTATAGGCTTGCTTTGAACAAGGGGTTGCACCACAGACCTCCAGAGGCCCCCTCCAACCAGCATTCTTGCAACTGTATGATCTAACTGCTGTGATATGCTTCAAATAACCATGACCTTGTTTAAACAATCACCCTCAGACATGATGCTGAACTGAATCATCTTTGGAAAAAGCATTATCCATAGATGACATCAGCATAGGCTTTCCTATAAATAGCCAAGTTTTACCATCAACATAGACCACATTTTAGGCATCTCAAGTAGTCACAGGACACAGTCCCAAAAGTTTTGGATTACCAAATATTTAACAGTAAGACTGTTTTAATCTAAGTTTCAAATGCAATTTCTCTTTAGTTTATTTTTTAATATAAGTTGCATACCTAAGCCTACTGAATTGAATAAGCTGCCAAATGCTATCCCAAGATCACCTTTGTCTATTACTCAATACTCTTGAACGAAAACTTCAAGATTATTATTTTATTCCATTTAAGAACTGGCAGTATGAAAGATTTAAGTTTAGAATAGCCTCAAACAAGCTAAAAAAAAAAAAGCAGTACTGTCTCCCACAAGACAGTTTTAAACAAGAAATTTAAAATAAATTAAACAATAATACTCAAGTAATACACAAGAAGTCCTATATTTCAGGATAGACTACAGACTCCAAGTCTCCACATTCATATGACATTACAGTCCTCCTTTTCGGATGCATTTGGTCCAGTAAACTTTGAATTATCTTATGCTGTCATCAAGTTTCAAAATAAGGATGAAACGTACTCAGTTTAATCAATAGGTTAGGGGCTAAGAAGAGCTCTCCTGGAAGTACAAGTTCTGGCAATGCAGAAACTGACCCCAGCCTCCCAGCTCCGAGGCAAACATGAAACAGTAGAAAGTTATTCACAGAGAGGGGAGGCTGACAGCTTTTATCACAATTTCAAATATCATAAGCAAGCACATTTTAGGTAAGGTTCAGCCTTACTTGGTCAATGTATATGCAGCATCTTCTGAAAATGCCTGCAGACTGGGACCTTCAGAAAAAGTTTAAAATAGATATGCCAGATTCCCGGATCCCCAGTCAGTATTGACAGGGTATCAGTGCTGGGCTTCTCAGTTCCACACATGCACAGAAGCTTCTAAGACTCTGTTGTCTGTCACAGCTTTTGGTGAATCAACCAACGTGCTCATCTGAAAAAAAAGGCTATGCACACAGTACTGGACAGTACAGCACAACAGGAGTAGATCTGCAAAACAAAACAATTGGTGTTAAAGATACAATATGCAAACTACATGTATTGCAGAAAGCCTTAATCCAGAGTTAGCTCTAGTCCTATCCATGCTTTAAACTCCCTTAGTCTGAATGCATTAGGCAAGTTCAGAAGCACATCTTCCAATTGTTTCATCCAAAAGGAAGCGACTCTGTACACTCCATAAGACAAACTGCAGAACAGTAACTGGAGACCATCGGAACATTTCTGTCAAAATTGTATTCCTCATCCCAACTAAAACATGGACGTAGGTCACTAAATGACCTTTCAATTGTTCGGCAAGTTGAATTACTTCAGTGAGACGTCCATTAAGCTCTGAAAGTAAAGGAAACAGGAGGAGACGGATTTGGGGTAGGAACTCTTTTCTTTCATTAGATCAGCAGTATAAATTGAAATAATACCCCAGTAAGGGGTTTCATTATGCAGGAAACTATTAATATGGTTTAAGGCATTACTGAAACAGGAGATCTGTAAAACCTTCTTCCAACTATTTTCTCCCCCATACAGTGATACCATTCACCTTAAGCTAACTCTTGTATTTATATAACTCTGCAAGTTGATTGAACTCATGAAAACAGCAGAAGAGCAACCCGAGAAAGTTTTCCTGCAAGGTGCTCTTTGTTTTTAAACAGAAAATAATCTGCCATCTTTGGGAATCAGCACTATGAGAGAAGTATAGTACATGAAAATCTTCTAACAATGGTACTTATGCAGCTGATTTTCTGAAGAAGCTGGAAACATACAGGTCCTTTCTGGGGCTCATATACATGTTGACAACACCAAGGGAGAAAAAAAAAACAGAATAAAAAAACACAGACAAAAACCCATCACAAATGAAACCTGGCTTTCCAGACACTGTCAGGTCAAAGCCACTTTTATGATTTGGAGAGCCCTTCTCCGAGCAGGATTTCCAAAAATTTCACAGTATCTACTACAAATTATTTCAAAGTACTTGGTCAAACAGTGAAACTTATTCAAGATTAATCTTTTTACCCCTTTTGTTCATCATATGAAAGCCAAATAAATAAATAAACGGAATCTATTTCTTAGAAAAAAAACTCAGTTAAGCGGCAAAGAACGTTGCTATATAGCCTATGGCATTTTGGAGATGCTAATGCAAGTTATACTAGAGCTAGTCCTGAAATAGTTTTTATTAGCTGAACTTTAAGTCACAGAACCTGAAAACCTAAAATTTACGCATGTCTGCAAAATACAGAGTAATGCATGAATGCAAAAATTGCACTCAAGTTCCTGATCACACTTCTAATAAAAATTGACCATGCAATAAGAATACTACTTAGTATAACTTAACCGTTGCACAATGACCATCCTAAAGATATGAAGAGCCTACTAAAAGGATACTCACAACCACATGTGCTACAGAGATTACTGATGCAATTTCAGGACGGTCTGAGTTAATCACAGTAAGAGTACAGTAGCAGCGGTAGCAGTCTCAGTCTCGCTCTCCCCTCTCCATTGTTTTAGGAGTTTTATAATTTCATGATGCAAGCTGGTTAGACCAATCACCGTATCTATCTGCAAACTACTCCTAGAAAAGGAAAAAAAAAAAGAAAAAAGATGAATTTTCTGCTATAGTAGAAAATTAAATTACTGGATCTAACTGACAGATGGCAGGGCAATTCTTAGCATTGACAGTGAGAAGTGAATGTATATGGCAGGATCGCCTATTTTGGTGGCAGTATATTATTAAATTAAAACAGGTAAGTTATGAAACCGTAACACAAACCCCTCCCTCTACCCCTCAAAGAAAAAAAAAAAAAAAACAAGATAATGATACCCAAGACCTCTTATACCAATATTTTGAGTGGAGAACTAGTCACATGGAGACAATAAATATATGGTATACTTATAAGTAAGATAACTACCACCGTGGAAAAGAAATAAAAGGTACTAAACACTTAAAAAAAAAATCAAGTTGGGCAAAATCATGTTACCTTATATTAAAGGTAATAATAATCTTAGAATTATTTAGATTTAGCTTCACTGCTTTGCAGCACAAAACTGACGTTCAAAAGAACCAACAGAGAAACATTAAGTTGCTTTTTCCCTCTCTGTATGAGAGTCCATCCCAGCTACAAGTCTCTGAAAACTGTCTTGCGATATTTGCTTGTTAACGTGGAACTTCTCCACAGAACCATATGCCAAAACAGTGAGCAGATTCCAACTCCATGGAAATCAACTGAGCAGGACTTATTCAGCAATCGCTTTTTCTAAATGCTAGAGGGGTTATTTTCGTACCAAACACCTCTGGAAATCTGTCTTCTGCTACCAACGCTCCATCCACCTGCTGGTACGCAAACAGTGTAGATGAGTCAGGAAAGCATGTTTACCTTAATAGAGAGAGACAAAAAAGGTAAAAATAAAAGAAAAAAAGTTTCTGAATATACAGCAGCATCTAAAACACTTAGGGCAAAAAACTCTTCAAGAACTTGAGAATGTAATTTATTTTTGAATATTAATATTCCTGAAAAATATTTGTGAAATCTACTAACGAAGGATAAGTCTTACTCCTCTGTTAGTAGCTGGCCAACTATGAATACGTTAACATTAGTTACTTCATTAGGTCAAGGGTAGACATCTGTGGAAAAGTATGAGAGATGCAAATCAAGCCCAAAAGTGGAGTCTAGAAGTCCCACACAAGAACATCATTGAGTTTAGAGTTCCTGTGTGATAAATTTGATTTCAGAAGGATTTTAAAGTGAACTTTTCTAGAGTACAAAATAAAATCTCATTAAAAAGCAAGCGTCTACCCAACACAAAAAGCAAAAAACTAAACAAAAAGAAATAACGCTGCCATACCATCTCATTTCAGAACCTCTACAGAAGAAAAAATAATAATGTAATTACAAAAAAATAAAAAAAGAGTTCCTCACAGGGATCCTGTCATACTTAGGTCAGGCTACATGTTCACTGGAAAAGGTCTCAAGAGTAAGAACACTACATTACATAAGACTTATTTCACCTATTGAAAAAAATCTGAAAGGCATGTTCATTCAGCTTTCTACAAGGAATCTGTTAATCATCTGTTTCAAGCACTTTTTTTTAACATGCCAAAGAAACCAGTATAGGGAACTGAAATAAACTCTTTCAAGGTGTTTGGAGATTGATTCAGCTCGGGAATCAGCTACTTCGCCCAATTTCTTCTACAACCTGTTTATATGCAAGCGCAGGACAAGTTACCGAAAGCACTTATTACAGATACCTGCTACTTTTATTCTTCATCAAAGAAGGTTTTGCTCGTCTTAAAATCAGCGTGTTAACGCTCGCTGAATAAACTGGGAATATCACATTAATGGACGCATGATGAGAGCAACATTTCAAGAGCATGTGATAAATTGGCAATATTTGCTATGAAACAAGCTTTCCACATGCAAAAAAAAAAACATATTTAAATTCCTGCTTAATAATTTGAATACAATTTAAAAGTAGAATTATTCAAATTAACTATAGCCTCCAACTTAAAACAATAGTTTAAAAGACAGGAAATGTCACAGAATCACCAATAACCTGTACAACACAGTGCTTCAGTCTCCAATGATCTGAAACTCCTATCTGTGTGAAGATTAACAAGACAGCTAAAATACCTTTTTGCTTCTACAGGGGAAGGCTGAAACAGATAGCCGCACAGTTCAAATTAACTGCATATTATAAACTAAACTAAATGAAAAAGTGAATATAATTTTATTTTAAAGTAGCTGACTAACAAAAGCATCCCCCTTTTCACTTAAAAAGCTATACAAGAAACATATATACCTTGTTATGAATTAATGATTACTACTCTTCAAAATCTGTAGCAAAAATCTGCTTTTATGTGGACGTTTGGTACTGTTAAGTGAAGTGTAAAAGTGAAACTAACAACAACTCAAACTGGGTAAATAAAGGTCTCATTTTTAATACGGATATAAGCAAGAATTGAAGTCAAATGTCATTAACTACAGCGGACAGCAGTAAGGAACTTCACACTGAAGTTAGTGGTGTGTAAAAAACAGCAAACAGGCCAGCAGCTCTTCCTGATACTATAATATGCAACTTCGTGATAAGATACAAAATCTCAACTTAAACATTCCTTGATTCTAATAAACTGATTGAAGTACATGTATTCATCTTTCTTTCCTGAGTTTTTACTGCTCCTAGTTAATATTTGGCATAAACTGCTTTTCAATTGAATAACCAGCTTAGCAGTTCCCGAGCCAAGCAGTATGTTTATCCAGACAAGTCAACTAGTCACCACATTCAAAATGAAAACAGTCATTGTAAAGATTTTGATTAAGCTTTTGAACTCATTTAATTCCAACCTGTACCAATGCACTGAGAAATACAGGATCAGATGACCATGTCTGAGCACCTCGTATTTGAGGATATCAACTATTATATTTGTTTTGTGCTTAGTCATACCAAAAAAAACATTGACTCAGATTTGGCAACTCATTTTAGAGGTTACAGATATAAAAATAGGGGAGAGGGAAAAGAGTTGAAATAGACAGATGCGTATTTTAAGTAATTAAAATATCACAAGTTTCCTTGCTAAAAGGATCTTCCTTTTCCTCCTGGTTTGAGTTTTGAACATGGCTAGCTCTGTTGAGGGCTGCAGCTTTTTTTTCCTGCTATAAAGCCTACGGACAGAGTATAGTAGTCTTCAGAAAGCGCAAGGAGTCACCTTAAGTTTCCTTGAAGTATTCTCTTGATATACTTAGAATGCATGAGGGATAGGTAGCAAAAAAAAATAAAGACCTAGCTTCTCTGATACGAGAACATTCCCAATGTTCCAGTGACCTGAATCCACCTCAAAGTGCCTGATCCTGTCAGCAGACAGCTTAGTTTTCCCACAGTGGAGGCCTATGTTAAAATGAAGATGTTATTGACCTAGAGAGGGATCAGAGAGCTAGGCTCACAGAATCACCATCAAGAAAAAACATTCCTGAAATAAACTGTATGCTATCCAGATGAGATGAATACACACCTGACTGAAATGCTAATATTAAAACTGAGTTAGCTTTTTTTTTTTTTTTGTCTTAACCTAATTCAACTGCAAAAACATGTTTAGTCATCCTTCCGGAAACAAATGCAACACTGAGATAAAAAGTTTTTCTGCTGAAGTTTCCTGAACAATAATTTCAAATAAATAAAACCCCAACAGAAGTAGACTAAGGGCAATGATGAGAGAGAACATTTACAAACACACTATACAGTCAGATTATTTAGTAACAAGGTTTATCATACAAGGTCTCTATAGAGAGCTAGAAACATGCTGGGAAAACAAGAGCTTAACGAAACACATTATATGAAGCATATGAATATAGAATAAACATACATGTAAAAATAAAGACGCATATCAAATATGGAGCAGTCGGCCAATAGACTGAACAGGGATTACAAAAAAAAAAAAAAAAAAAGCAGCCTTTAAGCACAAAGGTACAAAGGTGCCCAGCTTGGAAGAACCACGAACAACATGCAGTTTCTGCATCCCCAGCCACAACACTAGTAAGGATGAGGAAAGAGGAACACAGAAAGGAAGTTAAGATGGAAAACTCATAACAACCCACCAATAGTCGAAGAGAGAAAGCATGCCAGCAGAACTTTAAATACATAGCCAAAGCTAACATTGATCACAGCCTGCTACTATGAGTACTGACTCCCCAGGTCCAATAGCTGAGATATGTCTTACAAATTCTAGGTAAGAGCAGCTAAACAGCTAGAGGTCATTATTTGCTTAAACTTAAATCAGAATTGAGTTTTCAATACATTCTACTTTTAACTTTTTGCTTCCAATTCTTACCTCATTGATTAACTGCCCTCTATTTTACCACTGCGTTTGCTTGGTGCTGAGGATACCAGAAAAGAAGACAGTCTGCTGAAGGTAAAAAACAAAACAGAAACACATCCACACACCACAAACGCCTCTGTTCCAGCAGCCCTGAGCAATCTGTACCCTGGAATACAGAGTACAGGCTTAGCCTCACACACTAAGGAGCATTTTCTGCCAAGCTGCAAAGGGTCAGCAGGGCATCTTCTGTTGCCAAGCATCAGCTTTGGTAAAGAGTAGTTTCCAGAAGGTACACATTTGAGCTTTTTCTGTAAGATTATCAGAGTACATGACACTCCTCACAGGTCTCCCAAAACTGTGGAGTCACACTATGACTTCTGCGCATAAAAACATTCAGTTAGTGCATTAAATAATCTGAATGATCAACAGAGTAGCTGTACATAAAAAAAAAAAAAAACCACAAACACACACATGAAGGTGCTCAGTATTCAGGAACACTTTAAATATCAGAGTAACAACAACACTGCATTTGACTGAACTGTGCTACATCTGCAGAGAGAATAATGAAGCGAATGGATGAAGAAAGTCTTCAGAGGGTCATCTGGCATTTTGATTTATTATACTAAAGATAAGCCTCTAATATTCAATACTCTATATCGCTCTTACCCAGCAAGAAATCCGTTTCAGGCTTATTTTACCTCTATATTCTGCATATAGAAATGCCAATGTAAGGTCTTACAGATTCCACTAATAACACTTTGAATTCCAATACAGTGTTGATTCAGTGTGAAATATAAGAATTAAACAGCCTTTTAGTATTTTAGCTTCCTCATTCCCACAAGATTCAATATGCCTTAAGACATGAAACAATCTTATCTAAGGCATTTCTTGTGAATATTTTAATCTTTCTTCCTTTATCTTTCTAATCTTTACTTCTGCAGAAATGTAGACCTAGTTCCCTCAACCTCTCATGCAGTTAAAACTCTTTACTGGTGTTATTCAGACTGAGTCATCTTAATAAGAAAACATACAAAGAGCAAGCTGATACCCCTAATGGTTAACATCAAGCATAGAAAAAAATATCCATATCAAATAAATTTTAAGCTCTCGGGTGGGTTGTGCTACTCCTCATTAAGTAGCAACTCAGACAAAGCAATCCCTCTTTACGAGTAGTAGGGCATTCTCCAATTAGACCAGTTCACTGCTGCTGTAATCTATGGAACTCCCTAAAAAAAAGGAAAAAAACTTTTTGAAACAGAAATACAAAGGAAAAGACTGAGATTGCTATTGTGTTTACAAAATCATCCATCATGCTGATCAACAGAATCTCAATACACTCTCCTCCATCTGTAGGCCTTTACTATTACTTAAATTAAATTTGCAGTTTGGAGGGGAAGGAGGAGGAGGTTTTTTGGTATAATACCTACCTAGCACATTGCTAAGGATTAAAAAGCCAATTATTCATCATTAAAAGTAGTCCTTTATTCTTTACCTTCACCATCACAATAGTGCCTGCGAGACACAAAGTGGATATGAACACAGACCTAAACAACGAACAGTTAGACTAAACAGCTACCCAAAAGCTTTCAAGATAGATGAATAAAATAAAGCAGAAATTATGCATGCAAAACTTCACAAATGTATGTCTTATTACCTCTACACAGTTTCAAAAACATCTTTTGTCACGCCACACAACTGTACTATCCAGGCACTAAGATCGAAGAGCATTTTAACATTATTCTATGTTACATACGTCAAAGACAAACATGAATAAACTTACATATGAAGTCTATAAACTGAACAGTTTTTTAAAAGTTTTTCAGTCCAGGTAGTCGCAAAAACTTTGACCTCGAATTCTATCCTGAAGTTCACCACCATCCCAGAAGCTCTCCCCGACAATGGCAGGCATGTTTCCACTGTTGTTATTGCCAGCCACAAGGTTTTTTTTACTTCTCTGTTCTATACATCACATTAAAAAAAATCCCTATCGTACTGTCTAAAACAAAACGCAAGCAGTGTGCAAGCGGCATACTCGGATAGTCTATTCAGCTTGCTTTCAATCTGATTTTTCACCTGTTTTGTATTGACTGCCATCTGCCCACTCCTCCTCCTCTCTCTGACATAGACTTTGTGCCATCTCATAAGCATTTTTTTTTTTTTTTTAGTACCTTACTGTGCACTTCTTCCAGGTCACCGATACCCACACTGAATAAACTTAATTGCAAGATTGCTCTCTGGGGCTCCTTAGTCCTGCCATTTCAAATTGACTCCACTTGGAGAGCATGTTTCGGTATGTAACATATATATACACATATATATGTGTGTGTGTGTGTACATATATACATATATATTCACACATACACATTCAAAACTATATATAAAAATATACATATATACAATTTATAACATTAGACTCAAGTCTACCACCATTCATATTTCGTTCCCACTGTAAGAGTACTATTCACTAGTAAATGTAGACATACACAAAGAGTAAGAATGCATGTATTGACTGTCGAAGTTTTATTAATCATAAATTGCTTGCCTAAAATGTCTCCATTAATACTATGACGGTTTTAGTCAAATCTTTTCACGTGTTGAAAAGGACACTGAGATTAATTATGTATTTCCAATCTGGCTTCTTTATTAGTAACAGAAATGTTCATTTTCTAAGTTGTACATGACAGTTGCTTAAATCTCCATCTGGCTTTTTTGATTTACACCAGGAACTTCTGTGCTACGAGTACATGAATATATTAACTGCACTGATATTTTTGCTCCCCTCAAAAGAAGAACACTAAATTCTTCAACAGAAAACTTAAATGGGAACAGAATTGTAAACATCTCTTAAGCATTTGGAACTTTAGGAAGTATCATTGTAAGATTTCATGCTTATTTAGGTTTTTTTTTTTTTTTCTGTAACGTAGAAAAAATAAATCCAAAAGAGCCTTTACTTTATCTGCCATTGACCTTTAGACTTGACACCCACTGCATCCGGTGGGAAACTTTTTTCCAAGAGCCAACTTTCTTATAAATATTTTAGTAGATTAAGCTTCCAGGCTATACTTTATTTGTCTACGTTTACAAAACGCAAAGGCTGCTAGATAATGACAATATATATGTGGATTTCTATACGCACATAAATATGTATAAAGAAATAAAATATAATGCCATGGCATCCTGAATGTACTACATGCAAGTGGTTTTGAAGCAGTTCTTAAAAAGTTTCCTGCTACAGCTCCTACAAGTCTATGCTTAAAAGCATGTATCTGTATCACTGTCCATCTTTCTGCATATCGTTTGAAAATACATTTGCATATCCTCCAAAAATATGGAAGTACTAGGAAGAAAAAAAAAAAGCCTCTGCATTTTATATGAAAAGAACAATACTGATATTTCAATTCCCTACTCATAATGAAAATTCAAGTCCCTCTTAGATGTTTTACCAGTAGATTTCCTTAAACTCCGCAAGAACTGCTCACTTACAAGAATTTGTTTAGCTTTGAAGTGTCAAAGCACTGCACCTGCTCCTTTTCAGATAGCCAGCCTCCTTGTCAAGTCTTATATATTCCCCTTGCTTCTCCATCACAAAGAAACTGTTCCACGCAGTATGGAACAGATCACATACGGAAAGTTATATGAAAATTTTTTTCTAAGAATTCCCACAGGCCTTTATCCAGGTACACTTCTCCTCCAAGTCCACCCTTCCCTTCTGTATACTGTTCCCCTACACAGCTATACATCTTGCAGTCACATCAGCACTTGGAAGGAAACTTTTCAGCTGCTCCAACACAACTTTCCTATACGAGCCATGGAGCCAGACAAAGACAACTGAATTCACTAAGAGAGGTAAGCAGGAACTTGGCTCTGTAATACCACTAACAAGAAGGGTACAAGTAATAGAATATAAGAGCCTCTATTCTCCTATCTTAATTTTTCTGGAGTTTCTATTCAAACCATAATTCTTTGGTTTATATGGCTGTTTTATTACCAGCTATCAAAACTACAGTTGTGGTCCGTCAATGTGTGATACAGAACAAGACTTCTTTCCAGTAACTTCTCTCTCTCACACAATTATCTCCATATCTGCAGTACTTCACAGTGGTTACAGTGCCCATTACCAAGCGGAGCAGGAGGATGAGCTGTGTTTCACTCCGACTCATTCCTCAGCTGTCACTTAGCAGGACAGTACTATACTCCCAGCACAGATATCTTCAGAATGTTTGTAACAAATTTGCATGGAGACATTCAAGACAACAAGCAGCCAGTAGCCATTCAGCACTCAAAAAATCTACAGTAAGATAATGCCAATGAATTTTCATGCCTGAGAACAGCAGGACAGGATGTACAGTGCAAGCTTACATAAGACACAAGGCACTGCTGGGAACCAGCAGAAGTGAATAACATAAGTGACATCAGCATTTTTCTGAGCCATTTGTATACATTTGGGTAAAACTGCCTTTCCATACACCAAGTTTCTCTAAGCCTAAACCTGGCCTAACAGCTGTTCGTTTGAACCTTACAATTTGTTCTGTTTTACTGAAACCGTGAAAAAGACTTATTTTTCAAAAAAAATAAAAAAAAGAAAAGCTAGTGTCCTTATTAATATTAAGATGCTAGATAAAGAAATAAATCCAAAAAGCATCTATATTTATTGCAACACTTGCAAGCAAGAATCTAAACAACAACAAAAAAGGAAGTGTTATGGAGGAGTGGAAAAAGCAAGTAATCATGTACAGACATACTTGTCCCTAACTCCTACTGGGGGGGGGGGAGGGGGAAACCCAGTTCAAGCTCAACTTATCTGTGTTAAAATATGACCTCTACGGAGCTACTAAGGTCAATGAGACTTAGTAGTTACTCAGTAAGTCCTGCTTGCATAAATTAAAGATGCCTAAGGGTAGCTATGAAACAGAGTATTTGATTTTTTTCCGGGGCACCTACATATTATGAATTAACAATGAACTGCCATTTTGCTAGACAACTCCTTCCAGTTTTGTTGTTTCTATATACAAAAAAAAAGAAGCAGCATTGTAATTACCTTTCCCTCAACACATGACAGGTTTCCTGCTTAATATTAAAACCAATAACGGAGGTTTCATACTGAACGTACCAACTTGAAAATACTTTAGAAAAGGCTAAGCTATTAGTCAATTAGTGATTCTTTATCCTTCCACAACAGGAGACAAAAAAAGAAGGAAAATTAATCTAACTGGCCAAGCTAGTATAAAGCAAAACTGAAAAGATGGAAAACTTAGCTCACTTAGGTCAGTACTCATGGCAACAGCAGCAACCTCCAACTCTGTGCTTGGCTGCATTCACCTGTTACAGCACTGACTGCACAACTATTTAGAGCAGTATGTTGAACCACTTACAGGTAAGTGCTTCACAGTTCAATGTATCTGTATAGAAGTTTTTGGTCTACGG